TGATGATATCTTTACTATTTTTTTATGGCTGCTATTGGTTTTCATCTGTTGTCTACCGTAGCATATCTTTACTGTTGTTGTTTTCTATAACAAGCTGGCTTATCAGGCATGATACATTATTTTCACTAACAAGACGATTCTTGATCGAGACGCGCCCGGATCTAACGTCGGCGAGATGAGCTGCACGTGGGCGATGGTGTGCAGCGGCCAGGGCGGCATCGGGGCGAGGCAAGACTGAGCTTATCCTTGTCATTATTTTTATTAACAAAAAAATAGTTTCTTTTTAAATCATATACGATGAGCACGCCTTTGCTGCCTTGTTTGTTTTTGTTGTGTTTCCTGCCTTACATTGGTGTTATCTTCTCCTCCTGTTTTTTACTACCCTGAAAGAGACTTCATCCCTGTCATTCTTGTGTGGAATCATTCGAATATAACATCGGGAATAGTGAAGCAGAACAAGGAGAAAATGCCAGCTTCTCTAATATATACATAATATCATCAACGTTCATTTGGATGCTGAAAGCACAAACTGGTCGGCAGATATGGTTGCGGTTATGGAGCGCAAGATGATGCAGCTGTTGCAGGCAGTTTTAGCAGCTGAAGCAAGTGGGGAAGAAGAGAAGGTGCATTTGGTGGTGTCGATGGATGATGGTCACAGACTTCAACAGGCTCTACAATTCGTTCCGCCGCAGAAGAAAGTAGTCCTTGTCCATATCCACCGGCCAGCAATGATGATACCAATCCCAACCAGTAAGAAATGAATATGCTGGTTTTGTGCCTCTTTCATTCCATATGCATTAGCAGAGAAGTTACATGCTATATATTTCCTGTTATGATATCATTTTGTCATAATTTCTTTCAGTGGGTGGCGCAGTACATGCAAGCATACTTAAAGACGACATTGTGAGAGCCTTTAGGGAAGAGCAGAGGGGTCAGGCTCTTCAAGCCTCAAAGGGCTACGAGGAAATCTGTACTAGAGCAGAGGTGAGTGGTGAATCAAGAATTGTTGCTTTTGTATTGCATGCTCTGGTCTCTGGTGGATGATAGAATAGTAACAGCTTATAGTTCTTCTAGGTTATTTAGTGAGATATCTGCATGTCCATCACAGGGTAAACAGATCGAAGAGAAACCTAGCAACAGCTTTGCAGAAAGGCGCTGACCCGACTTGCTGTCAGTTCCGACCAAGGTGATGTACACCATAGGCAAGAACCAGAGTTCTCTGATGAACTCAAACACAACACAAAACACAACGCTATCGCTTGGACACAAGGTTTTGGTGCTGCGAACAACTGAGCAGCTTTTCTGGTTTTTGCTTCTCTCCTTTTATTCTCAGGATTACATGCAGGAAGTTACATCGATCAGCCACACATCACACTACTGAGCAAGTCCATCCCCATGCCCACGATGCTGCTGAAGACCCGTTCCTTCAAGGTCATGCGCGAGCTATTCTCGTCATGCCCTCCTACTCACGCGGCCACCACAGATCGGAGCCCGCGCGCATGCAGTGCTAGTAACAGAAACATGCAAAGCTAAATAAAGTATCCTATGACCAAGGCTGTAACTAACAAATCTCCTCCTACGCCTTGTTCATGGACTGTACATCAATGACGCCGATCTTGGAACGCAGCTCACAGAACTGCTGAGGCCCAATGCCTTCATCAACATGTCTGCAAGCTCTTCAGCTGTCCTGACGGACTGCAGCTTCACCCTGTCCTCTTCGATACATTCCCGTATATAATGATATCTCACATCTATATGTTTGCTACGGTCATGAAAAAATGGGTTTTTACTTAGCTGAATCGCAGACTCGCTGTCAATCTTTCGTAGTAATGGCCCCGACCTTTTCTCCCGTAGTTCAAAGAAGGAGAGACGGGCCAACCAAACACCTTGGCGAGCAGCAGCGATAGTAGCAACTATATATTCTGCTTCACAAGAGGATAGGGCTACTACCTTCTGCTTTTGTGATTGCCAAGTGATGATGCTGGAGCCGAGGAAGTAGAGGACTCCTGTGGTGCTTTTCCTTGTATCAATGTCACCACCCAGTCAACATCACAAAGAGCCAATGAGTTGTGCCTCTTTCTTCCTCGATAGTAGCAGCCAAAATGCAGAGTCCCAAAGAATATACCTCAAAGCACTCTTTTCACCGCCACCATATGCTCGATGGTTGGGTTCTCCATGAAGCGGTGACATATCCCACAAAGAAATGCCGTGTCCGGTCTTGAATTCACCAGTACCAAAGAGATCCAACTATACTCCTGTAATGTGTGACATCAACAAAGCAGGAGCGATGACTTGACTTCTTCGAGCTTGAGACGAGATTCCATAGGAGTATGGCTTGGGTTGCATCTAGTCAAGCCGGCGCTCAAGAATTTTTGGCAAAGATAGGCACTCTCTGCTGACAAGATGCCATTCTCCATCTGTGTCACCTCCGCACCAAGGTAATAGCGCAAAGATACCGAGATCACTCATCTTGAAGGTTGCCTTCATCTCCTCCTTGAAGGCACCGATGTCGTGTGAACTGCCACCGGTGATCACCAAATCATCCACGTAAACCCCACGATGAGACGCCTTGCGCCAAAGACTACGGAGATAAACAAAGATGCTCGGACGTGCTCGAATGAACCCAGCTTGATCGGTGATGCATCCAACTTTGGAGTACCATGCACGAGGGGCTTGGCAGAGTCCATAGAGGGCCTTGATCAAGTGAAGCACCTTGCGTTCTTGGCCCTTCATCACGAAGCCGGGCGGCTGCTCGACATAGACGTCCTCCAGAAGCTCCCCATTCAGGAAAGTGGACTTCACGTCCATGTGATGGACAGTCCATCCCTCACTGACAGCAAGTGCAAGCAGTAATCTCATAGACTCAAGCCTGGCCACCGGGGCGAACACTTCATCAAAATCGATCCCCTGGCGCTGGACATAGCCCTTTGCAACAAGGCGGGCTTTGAACTTGGTGACCAGACCGGCTTCATCTTGCTTTGTCTTGTAGACCCACTTGAGGCCTATGGGGTGCACACCAGGGATAGGATCGACGAGCTCCCAAGTGTCATTCGCCTCAATTGAGGTGAACTCGTCAAGCATGGCGTGGCGCCAATTCTCCTGCTCCATTGCTTCCTTGAATGACGTCGGTTCAGCTTCACTAGCCAGCAGCAGCTGCTCCTCCAACTCCCGTGCAGCCAGCCCAGGGTGTGTGGCTGGCCCTAGGATGTTGTCCACTGCACGATAGCGCAGTGGTACGTTGCTGTCATGGTCAGCGTCCAGGTGTTGTGATGCACCGGCTCCAGGTGGCGACACGAACTCAATTGAGTCCGCGTCCAGCTGCGTGTGTCCCCTCGGCGTTGCGTTCCCAGTGGCATGCACTGGAGAAGCATGGGCAGAGGGTGCTGGCGAGCCCAATGACGCAGCAGCAGTTCCAGCCGGTGTACTCGTGCTCGTCGTTGTTGTAGTGGTGGTCGTCTCGGACGGTGTCAGGTTTTCGATGACGAAGTCGGCCGCCCCGCCTTGCTGGCCCTCGGTCCAGGACCACTACGTCGCCTCTTCAAACACCACGTCTCGGCTGACGTGCACGCGCCGTGTCACCGGGTCATACACCCGATATGCCTTAGAGCTCGGTTCATACCCAACGAAGATGGTACGCTTGCTCCTGTCGTCCAGCTTCCTTTGGTTCGGCGCCGTCACCTTCATGTGCGCGATGGAGCTGAACGTGCGTAGGTGCTAAACAACGGGGACGCTGCCGGTCCAGAGCTCGTAGGGGGTCTTGCCACCCACGCTCTTGGACGAGGAACGGTTCAGCAGGTAGACGGCCGTGGTGACCGCCTCACCCCAGAACTCGCCGGGAAGCCCTTTCGCCTTGAGCATGCTGCGAGCGGTCCCCACGACGGATTGATTCCGTCGCTCCACGACGCCGTTTTGTTGCGGCGAATACGGCGCCGTGAGTTGACGTTGTACCCCAAGTTCGGTGCAGTACTCGGTGAAGTTGGCCGCGGTGAATTCCCCACCACGGTCGGTGCGCAGGGCCAGCATCTTCTTGCCACTCTTGCATTCAGCAGCCGCCTGTACGCGCTTGATCGCCGTAGCTGCGGTGTCCTTGGTGGGCAGTAGACAAATCCACATATAGCGTGAATGGTCATCAACGAGTAGCAAGAAGTATCGATTACCACTTGGAGTTGACGGTGTGATGGGCCCGCAGATGTCACCATGTAGCAACTACAGCACCTCCGTTGAACGCCTTTGTGCTTGCTGAGGGAACGGTGCCCGCCGGTGCTTGCCGGCGAGGCAGGCTTCACACACCCGCTCCACCTGGGTCAACAGAGGCATGCCCCGGACAAGGCCGTCCCTGCCCATCTTGCGCAGCGCGGCAAAGTGGAGATGTCCAAACCGGGCGTGCCACACCCAAGCTTCCTCTTCTCCACGCGCTGCCAGGCAGACAGGCTGTGCAATGTTGACGTCGAGCACATAAAGCCGTCCTGGATTTCGATTGATCTTGGCTAGCAGCCGCCGCTCCTCATCACGCACCCGCATCACCCCACCTTCAACCAGCACCTGGTAGCCGGACTCATCGAGCTGCCCGACGGAGATAATGTTGGCAGTGAGGTTGGGCAGGTAGTAGACGTTGGTGATGGCGCGGTGCTCCCCGGTCTTGCAGGAGAAGATGACGGTGCCGATCCCTTCGATGCGGGCGACGGATCCATCGCCGAACTGCACCGAGCCTGTGACGCCGGCGTCGATGCAGGAGAAGGCTGCTCGCGCTCCGGACATGTGGTTCGACGCGCCCGTGTCCATCGCTTTGGGTCCCGGTCACCAGGCTCGTCGAAGGTGGCGAACAGTTTCTTCTCGACGAGATGTAGCTGGCCGTCGGCGTGGATCGAGGGCGCAATCGCCCGCGGCGTCGCTGGCTCCGACCCCTGCGATGGTGGCTGCTACTCGATTTGGGGATGAATCCCCTCCTCCTGCGCACAGCCCACATCCAGGAGTAGAGTGGGATCACTGTCTTGGGCCACATGGGCCTGCTCCTCTGTCTTCAGCTTCCCACGGCAATGTTCGGCCCAATGGCCTTTCTTGCTACAATGCTTGCAAATGTCGTCTGGATTGGCTCGACTTGCGCCAGAGCCGGTGCGCCCTTCGGAGTTGTGGCCGCCGCTGCGGCTACGGGCGTCGGAGTTGCCGCGACCACCACGGCCGCGCGGCTTGCCGTGGCCCTTGCTGCGTCCGCTGGAGCTCGTGTCACCGCGGCCGGACTCCTTCTTGTACCTCTCGAGCCACTGCTCCTCCATTAGAAGTAACTTGCCACCGACGACTTGAGACGGCGCAGTTTCGACGTCGTCCGCCGCCTTCAGCCGGCCGGTGACTTCTTCGATGGACAGCTCAGAGATATCAAGGAGCGTTTCAATGGAGATCACAAGTTGTTTGTACCTCGGACGCACGACCCGCAGATACTTCGCCACGACCTTCTCGTCCGGCTCGAGATCGCCGAGTGTTGCCAGCCTCTGGACGATGCCGGTGAGACGCAAGGCGAATTCTTCGATCGCCTCGTTGTCTCCGAGCTTGAGCGCCTCGTACTCGGCGTGGAGGTTCTGCGCCGTCGCCTTCTGCACACGGTCGTCGCCGATGCGGAGAGTCTTGATCGCCTCCCACGCCTCCTTGGCAGTGTCCTTGGTGGCGAGCACCGGGACCATATCTGCCGGACGGCGGTGCGAGATGGCGTCCCAGGCGCCGCGGTCGTCGTCGAACTCAACGTCGTCGAACTCGACGGCGGCCCTCGAGGTGACGAGCTTGCGCTTTAGCTTCATGCGAAGGACCACTCATGGTAGTTGGTTCGCGTCACCGCGGCCGATTAGCGGAACTGCTACCCTCCCGTATGATTCGCTCGACGACCTCCCATGACGGCGTGCGTCGCGGTGCGCGAACGACGGCGTGCCAGCGCGAGCTTGGACGACGAAGAGGGGAGCGGGACGGAGAAGGCGGGCGTGGCGGCGTCTTCGTGCCGGAGTCGCCGGAGCCGGCGATCTTCTTCCCGGCTGAACGGCCACGGGGTCTTGTCGGAGACACCATGGCGACGACGAGGTTTCCCTAAGTCTAGCTCTGATGCCAATTGTCAGTTCCGGCCAAGGTGATGTACACCGTAGGCAAGAACCAGAGTTCTCTGATGAACTCAAACACAACATAAAACACAACGCTATCGCTTGGACACAAGGTTTTGGTGCTGCGAACAACTGAGCAGCTTTTCTGGTTTTTGCTTCTCTCCTTTTATTCTCAGGATTACATGCAGGAAGTTACAGCGATCAGCCACACATTGCACTATTGAGCAAGTCCATCCCCATGCCCACGATGCTGCTGAAGACCCGTTCCTTCAGGGTCGTGCACGAGCTATTCTCGTCATGCCCTCCTACTCGCGCGGCCACCACAGATCGGAGCCCGCACGCATGCAGTGCTAGTAACAGAAACATGCAAAGCTAAATAAAGTATCCTATGACCAAGGCTGTAACTAACACTTGCAACATCTTGTTTATGCATAAGGGAAGACTCATTTCTATTAGGTAATGAATGGGCGGATTTCAAGTAAATCATTTCTGTAAGGCCTCCTAATAGCTACCTGTTAGTGTGATGACTTAATAATGTAATATTTCTCACACAGTGCCTTCTATTCTGCAGTCAGCAGGATGGAAGTGTCTTTGCTTTTGAAACAAAAGGGACACCTTCTTCCATATGCAGTCGCCGCTTCTCCCTCTCATGCAGCAGCGGCAGCAGCCCGTCTCCTTTCTTGTGGGATTCATGTAGCACACCATCTTCTGTCTTCTGGCATTCACGGAGCACGCCTGGTAGTTTGGACCCTTCACAACTGGATGACCCTTCTCTCGAGAATGCTGGCTCCATATTTGATGATAGCAGGCTCATTGCTATCCTTGGTCATGAGTCAATTGATGCTTTGAGGGAGCTAGCCCACTGCCCGAATTTGACTGAATGCTCACAAGGATGGCACCAGGCATTTCAATCAAAGAACTCTGAGATATCTAGTGGATGTCAATTGATTGGCGGCATCGATTTGGTTTTTGGAGCAAACTCTGAGAATTTTGGGGAGGAATACTGGAAGACCATGAATGGCTGGCCTGCAGCATTTGAGCTTATTGTTAGGGTTCTCAATACCACGCAGCAACAACTTAGCCACAACAGCAGTGAATGCAATGGACTCACACTTGACAGGCTCTCAATAGCGGCAAAAAAACTTATAAACCGATTGCTTGATGTTGCGTCAGATGTTGCTGGGGCGAGGAAGCCACCAGAGAAGTTATTTTCTATACTATACATGCGCAAAGCAATTATTGATTCAGATGCCTCTCTCAGGAGAGTGCTCCCTGCAGATTTTGTGAGTAAGGTAGACAGAGTCATCACAGTACTGAATGATTCAGCAAGGGGAATACTTGGAGATTTTAAAGTGTTGATCCAGAACTATAGCTCGCAGAAAGTAGAGCAGGACGGAAGCACCTTACTGATAACCAGGTATGTCATGAAATACATCAGATTGCTGATAAAGCATGCTGGCTCGCTTGATCCCATTTTGGGCTGTGGTCAAAACAGCGACTTGTTTGAGGGAGTAAGCTTGACAAGTCATCTAGTACGTGGGCTTATTAGTGACCTGAACAATGTTTTTGAAGAAAAATCTAGGTTATATGCTTCTCAACAAGGACTCCGGTGTATATTCTTGATGAACAATGCTCATTTTGTAATCCAGGAGGTCGAGCATTCGGATATACAGCTGATACTCGGAGCTGAGTGGCTTAAGCAGCGCAGGGATGAATTTGATATGTACATGAGGGATTACATGTCCTCGACATGGGAAAAAGCCACATATCATTTGACAGTTGCAGCAAGTCCCCCTCATAAAAGACTTAGGCCTGGCCTCCTTGGTATCTTCCACACAAACGCAAAACCACGTTTTGATTCTTGTTTCAAGGAAACCTGCGACTCTCAAATGCACTGGAAGGTGCCGTGTCCAGTTCTCCGGTCCAGGCTTCGTGAAAGCATCTCGGAGCATGTTGTTGAAGCCTACCAGGTGTATTTGGAAACTCTGAACCAGCCTTCGATAGGAAGTGCTGGGGATTTGAAGAGCAGAGTCAGTGAATTGTTTGAAGGGTGAACATGAATCATATTCTTACTATCAACAAGATCTGAATTCTGAAGACCAAGAATGGAAGCCGCAGTCCTTTTGTTGATGTCGTACCAACGATACTTCACAGTAAGACTTGAGTGGTGTAACTGTGTGCGTGCACTCCCCCACTGAAGTGACCGTAGTAAAAGAACGTTCAAAGGATGAACAAATCCCTACCGTCCTGTGAATAAAAAACTGAACTGTAGGCCTCCGGGCCAATTTGCATACATCTATTCCCGTCCCTGTGGATGTTGGACATAATCAGTTTCTTAACAGGTGTACTTATTTCTATATGGGTCGTGTTCCATTGAAATTTGTAGAAGAAATCACTCTCTCCCCTCCCCATCAGAAGAATAGAGATCTGTGCTTAGGGTTGGTTTGGTTCAGCCATAAGCTGTGCAAAAGCTGTTTTGAGTGAGCTATGTGTTGTGAAAAGGCTAAAAGTTGTCTGTGAAACAACTATGAAACCTAACCGCTTTCTCTATCTCCCTTAAAACAGTTGTTAAACATCTATCTAATTTCACCCATTTGGAAAATCAGAAAAAACAAAAGTAGAATCCAAGGTGCTATAAAAATTGTACTACACGAGAATAGTTGTTAAAAAAAACAGTTTTAGGTTCTACCTCTTCTCTTTGATTGGCGTTCTGCCTTTTTAACATCGGAAGTACTTTTCGAAGTTAAACCAAACACAGCCTTAGTCTCAGGTCATACATTATTCGGAGAAAGGAGTGGTGGGTACTCGATCGCTGATGATTCCAACGCTGTTGATTCGATACATTATTTGCAGAAGTACTTTGGCGTCCTGCATCCAACGCTGATGATTCCCAAGCGGTTGCATGCCAAGAGCAGCAGGCATGACATCCTGTTTTCCTGGCTTCCTGACGCTGCAAGAAACAAAATACCAAGGATATCTGCTCGATGATTCCCAGGCGGTTGCATGCCACGGTGCCAGAATCCAGACCAAGGACGTTGCATAGTTTTTGCAGGTAGCTGACTGTTTCGTTGGCACGTTTTGGACTGCCATTTGGCATATCACATGGCTTTCCTGTTAGGCATCTCGAAGGACGGAAATGTTAGACTCCAGTGTGCCTCCTAGAGAACTCGGTTAGCCAATAAACACACCTTTGTCCAATCAAGTTGTAGCATCGCATAATTATAGAGAAATGGCCCAGAGTAAGCCTGAGACTGTTACGGCCCAACAAAGTTTATCAAAATGGGCCCGTCAATGCGCGGCCCACCAAGAATTCCCAGACCAGCAATAGCACAACTGCAACCACTAGTGGGATCGAGCCGTAGCTCGGCGGCAAGTGCTCCGGGTGGGGGAGCGGCCGGTGGTGGGTTTGAGCTCTGCTGGACTCACGTTTTCCATCGGTTTTTTTTTTCTAATATTTGCAGTCGTGACGTGTTCATCGCCTATGAAATCAGAGGATTTCGGTGATCTCAAAAAGGACGCGGTCTTCAGATCTAGGTGTAGTTATATGTTTGTTTGTACACGGGTCATGTGAGTTGTGTGCGTGTGTTGTGCGGGCGTCGTGTGATGTCACAATGGATCGTGACATGTCCATCGCCTACGAAATCAGGGGATTTCGGTGATATCAAAAAGGACGTGGTCTTCAGATCTAGGTGTAGTTATAGGTTTGTTTGTACACGGGTCGTATGAGTTGTGTGCGTGTGTTGTGTGGGCGTGCGTGTGTACGAACAGATGCTACAGCTGTACCCAGACGAGAGACAATAAAAAAAACTGCAACCACTAGTAGCCCAGCGCCCCAGCCCATGCAGGAGAAAGCCCAGGACATCACAGAGGCTCAAAGCATGTTTTTCCCTCCATTAAAAAAAGGTTTTTCCTCCCTGGAACAAAATCCAGGGTAACTTCCATTCGATTTCTGCGGAGTACTTCACATTGAAGTTAATCTACTTCCTCGGTATCCACAGCCAGAAACCCTGCTGCACTGCACGGAGCTTGGATTGTCCTCTGCATCGTACTGCCGTTGCACCATCTCAGCATTTGGAACTGTCGCTAGTCTCTTTCAGTACAGAATCATTCCCTTCTTACATGGAATCTGCCATTGAGATCAGCGCCAGGAAGCAGTTAAATTCCTTCCGTGCTTCCCAAAACAGTGGCAGCAAACAAGATCGGCAGACCAGAGCCAGTCTCCTTTGCCTTGCCTGTCATCATTGCAAGACAAGAACAGAACTACATACAGAAGGACTCTGATCAGGTGACCATCCATCACCATGGAAGCAGAGCAGGAGCAGGCGCTGCCCCACATGCAAACGCCCGGGGCAGACGACAACAAGAACAAGGTCCACCTGGCGATGGGGGGCGATGTCCAGCAGTGCTTGCTCTCCCTTCGCTGGGCACTGCGCAACGTCCCACGGAACTTCACGCTGGTTCTTGTCCACGTCTACCGCCAGGCCACCAGGATCCCCACCAGATGTATAAGCCATGTCCTGAAACCTTAACACCAAAGAAGAGGCAGTCAAGCCTGACTACTAGCCACTAAGCCTGTGATTGGCTCCTTCCTCTTCTTACTTATTTACCTGCTTTCAATTTTTCATCTCAGTTGGAGCTTTGATGCCTGTAAGCATGCTCAGAGAACAGATTGTGAGTGCATACAGAACAGAAGAGAGGGAAAATATTGACACTTACTTAGAGATGTTATGAACGACGTATAGGAATATGAAGTAAAGAATCAAACCACAGAGGAGACACACGATTTAACGTGGAAAACCCCTCCGATGTGAAGGGGAAAAACCACGGGCACCAGCCAGCAACAATCTCACTATCTCAAGAGTTTTGGGTTACACGCCATATGGCGGCTTACAAGAAGATCAAGTCTCCACGAAACCCTAGCAAGGTGTATATATATATCATGACAGATTACTTACCCCGCACCCCCAAACACAGGGGCGAGACACGATGGGCGGCTTGACTCCGCTACGCCCGCCCAAGCCTCCGGCGACGGGCCTCCGCTTCGCTCCGTCAGAAGCCTGGCCTATATCCTGGAGTGAATTTGGAACAACTCCAACAAGAGATGTACATCAAGATCTGCACACGTGAGAAGGTTAACAATTCTGGATCCGGAATGATGAACCTTTAGTGGTATTGCTGGGGCAGGTATTAATTAATATTCTAGTTTTCATACAGGTTCAGGCAGAGACACTCATAGCTGAGAATGATGATGTTGCAGCTGGGCTGATGGATCTCATTAAACAGTGCCAGATTACCATCCTCATCATGGGATCAGTAAGAAATAGGTATGTTGATCACAACTATTTCTGTCATATGCTCCCTCACGTTTCAAAATCTACAAAATTTGACCCCAGGTCTATGCAAAATTGTTAAGATTTGTCATACAACGATGGTACTAATAGATCGTCATGAAAGATACTTCAATCATTAGAAAATGTGACCAACATAGGGAAAACTAGGTGGTTTTTCATTAAGAAGAAAATAGGCACCCAAATTCGAGTTGAATATGACTCAAACCTAGGTGGTTTGGTGCATGACCACACCTCCCATCCAACCAGTTGAGCTAATATCCAATGCTAAGAAAAAATAATGGCCAAAGACATATTAGAAACGACAATGTCTGGTAGCATGTTATAATGTGTATGTATACCCTTTTTTTGGGTATGTCATGTGATTTAAAATGTATGAGGCAGAATAAATGGTTTGAAGAGCAAACTATCAACAACTTTGGAGAAGCAAGCTGATCCATCATGCAACATTTTATTTCTACGGAACGGAAACCTCATTTCTAGCAGGTAATAATTTTAGTTTTGTTATATTAACCAGTAGGGGGCTACCCCTCCTGTTTCCTCAAAAAAAAAAAAGTTCTGTTGAACTAGCAAATTGTCTAAATATTAGTTGTTTATTTATGTATGGGGATCTTAAAAAGTCCCGCAAATAATGTCTCTGAAATAGTTATTGCGTGCAAACACAGACATGAGGATGACAGTGCCTATATGATTGGAACATACGACTTACCTTCTTTCGGAAGCTTCCACCACCTCTCAAGTGGCAGCACCTACACCAGCAGTACCTTGTCTCCATTCTTCAGGGACTCATGTAGCACAGGCAGTGGACTTGATATCACAAGGCTAGATGATGCTGTTCTGGAGGACACTGCCTCCATATTTGACGATACCAGGTTCAGTGACATCTTTGGACATGTGTCAATTGGTGCTTTCAAGGAGGTAGCAGCTAGCCACCCAAATCTGGCTGACCAATCACAAGGACTGCACCAGGCATTTCACACCAAGTGCATCGAGGTCTTGACAAGGTGTCAGTTTGCTGGAGGTACCGACTCGGTTCTCGGAGTAGACTGCAAGGGTTTAGAAGGGGAACAGTGGAGGATAATTAAGAGCTGGCCTGCAGCACTAGAATATATTGTCAGAGTCCTCAACGCAGCCCTTATGCAGCCCAAGCAAAATCGTGTTGCAAAGGTTCTCAACACATTGCAGCTGCAGCTACTTAAGCAGAATAGCCGTACTTGCAGTATGTTCACGACCAACAATGTTTCAGAGGCAGCAAAGGAGCCGGTTCGTCTGCTGCTCAATCTTGCCTCCCAAGTTGCTAAGGTGAAGAAATCGCCTGATAAGCTCTTCTGTGTATTGTACATGCACAGAGCACTGTATGATGCCATCCCTACTCTTTCAAGAGTGTTTGGTGAAGAATTTGTGAAGAAAGAGACGGAGGGAGTTTTTGGAGCACTGAAGGATTCTTCACTGGAAATAATTCGTGAGCTGAAGGTGTTGGTTCAGACTTACAGCCCGAAGAAGGTACCAATGGAAGGCTGCATTCTCACGGTAACTGGATACCTCATGAAATACATCAGGTTACTGGTAAATCACATTGGATCACTTGATATGATTCTATGCACAAGCCAGGATAATGATCTGTTGACCATCGAAGGCGTGAATCCGACAGGTCGTCTAGCAACTGGGCTCATTGCTGACCTGGAATCAGTTCTCAAGGAAAAATCTAGCATCTATGCATCTGAACCAGGACTACAGTATCTCTTTCTGATGAACAATGCGCATTTCATACTGCAAGAAGTCGAAGAATCGGATGTACGCCTGATGGTAGGAGTCGAGTGGATCAAAAAGCGCTGCTACCACATCGAGCAGTACAAGACGGATTACCTGTCCTCATCATGGAAACAGGTTGTGCATCATTTGGAGACTGCAACAAGCACTTCACCTCCCAAGAGGCGCAGGAACAACTTCCTCAAGATCTTCTACTCCACTCCCAGTTCCCTCAAGAGCTTTGAATCGGCTCTGAACAAAACCTGCAAATCCCAGATGCACTGGAAGGTGCCTAGCCCGGTTCTTCGCATCGAGCTTCGCATACATGTCATACAGTATGTTGTCCAAGCATATCGCGCGTACTGGGAAGGCTTGGAAGAGTCGGAGAGAAGCGATCTCAAGGATTTGGAGCCGGACCTGAAGAGCAAACTCAATGAATTGTTTGAGGGGTGAAGAATTACCTCTGTATCATCAGACACACACAAAAAAAGGTCTGAAATGTAAAGTACTAAATCACACGGTGCAAGTCAGAAAGTAGACGCTTGGTATAATTGATTTGATGCATGAATCACTAGCTGCCTAGCTAAATGCAGATGCTAAGCACCTGCTTAGTGGAAATCGCACAACAAAATCAGAAGCACCTGCTTAGTGCAAATCCTACAACAAAATCAGAGGCTCTAAACTTATGCCCTTCGTTTTATGATATCTGTCACAGTCCCACTTGTTGAAACATTTGGAAGTGAACTAGGGGTGTTGTCGTGTTGTCAAGACGTCAACATAAGAAAACCGTAATGCACAACACAACTGCATACATAGTAATGGCGATGCTCTAATAGATAGATGGAGAAGTGCCCAACACAACTGCATCCAATTAACTAACTATGGATACCTGATGAATGCGACGGCAGATGGAGAAGTGCAGTCCGAGCTAGCGGTGTTGGAATCTCCTCTCACCGCTGCCTCGCCGTGGTGCCCCCTCCTTCCTCGCCGTGCGCTCCGATTAGTTGATGCGATGCGCCTGGCAGCACGAGGAGGCGGAACGGGGGCGGCTACGAGAACCTTAGTAGAGTGATGGAGCCCATTAGCTGCGGGTTGTGGCCTTCGGCGTTGTCACACCCTTGGCCGCCGGCGATCGTCGTCAACATGAGCACGAAAGATGAAATCGATTACGAGGACGCCGGGAGGGCAAACCCCTCTGCCTTGGCGATTTCTGATTACGATGTAATATCTGAATCCCCCACAAGATACGGGTGCGGCACTTATGTGCGCTTACAGAGTCTGGCCATCAGGGCCCACAAGACAGTGCAACAACTAGAAAACGTAAATAGACACATACACCAACTAAGTAGATGACATGGCTTTCTTCAGTCGCCACCAACTCACTATATGTCGTCCGGCACGACGTCTCCCCCCCCCTTGAGGTGCCGCTTGTCCCCAAGCCGGCGCATCTAGGAATATCTTCTTGAGCACATTGTAATCTTCTCAGTCGTAGCTGATTGTGGAAGGCTGGTCCATGTGACCTTGACTTGAAGAATCGCCGTGTTGCCTTTCTTGACCAACCGGCGCTCCAGGATTGCTTCAGGTTTGGCCGCTGCAGCTTCCAAGTCAGTAGTGACTGGAAGGGTATCATATACAGGAGTATAGTCTGCAATGAAAGGCTTTAGCTGAGAAATGTGAAAAACAGGGTGAATCAATGACCCTTCTGGTAATTCGAGCCGATAGGCCACATTGCCAATGCATTCCTGTACTGTATATGGTCCAAAGTACTTGTAAGGTAGCTTTGGAAAGGGCCTGTTAGCCACTGAGGATTGTGTGTATGGCTGGAGTTTCAGCAACACTTGATCGCCAACAGAGAAATGATAGTCCTGCCTCTTCTGATCTGCCAGTAGTTTCATTCGATTCTGTGCTTTGGCTAGATTTGTCTTGAGGGCTTCTAAATGTAATTCTCTGTTTTCAATGATCTCAGCTACGGTAGTGGATGTTGAAGCTGGTACATTTGGAACTGCTCCCACATTAGGTTCGTAGCCATACAGAGCCTTAAAAGGTGAGCATCCCAGTGCAGTATGATAAGATAAATTGTACCACAGTTCTGCTAATGATAGCCACTAAGTCCAAGCTTTTGGGGAGTCTTGCACAGAGCATCTGAGATATATTTCCAAACATTGGTTGACTCTTTCAGTCTGTCCATCTGTTTGGGGATGGTAGGCAGTGCTGAGTTGGAGATTGACTTTATACAACTTAAACAGCTCTTTCCAAAAGTGACTGAGAAATACAGTGTCCCTGTCAGTTACTATGGTACTTGGTAATCCATGTAGTTTGACCACATTGTCCATGAAAAGCTGTGCAATTATTGCTGCAGTGTATGGGTGTTTGACTAGCAGAAAATGGGCAAATTTAGTGAGCTTGTCGACCACAACCAAGATAACACTGAAGCCCTGTGACTTGGGTAAGCCTTCTATAAAGTCCATGGACAAATCCCTCCATACACCTTCTGGAATTGGCAGGGGTTGGAGTAAGCCCAATGGATGAGTGTTGGAGTGTTTAGACTGTTGACGGACATAGCACTGTTTGATAAATGATTCCACATCATGTTTCATACCTTTCCAAGCAAAGTGCCTTTTAAGTCTGTGGTAGGTAGCAGCAATACCTAAGCGTCCTCCAAGAGCACTGGAATGATAGGTAGCAATGATTTTTGTTTGAAGTGCTGTATTTTGAGCAATCCAGACTTTGCCATGGTGCCTGACCAACCCTCTGTCCAAACTGTAACCCTGTGCATCTAGACTGGAGATGATCAACCTGGTCAGGAGTTGCTGGGCTTGAGCATCTGTGGCATATGAGTTAAGAACTTCCTGCATCCAAGCAGGTTGCACCGAAGACACAGCTTGCAATGACATGAGATGGGCTACTCTAGAGAGTGCATCAGCTGCCACATTTTCTTTTCCTTGTCTGTAGACAATCTTGAAATGCAGTCCCATTAGCCTTGTCATTGCTTTCCTCTGCATCTCAGAGTGGAGGTTTTGTTCATTGAGATATGCTAGTGATTTATGATATGTCACTATAATAAACTCTTGCCTTTGTAAATAAGCTCTCCACCTTTCCACTGCCATGATTAGAGCCAAGAACTCCTTTTCATATATGGATAATGCTTTATGTTTCTCTCCTAGGGCTTTGCTAAGATAAGCAATGGGTTGACCTTGCTGCATCAACACCGCTCCAATGCCATCATGGCAAGCATCTATTTCAATTGTAAATGGTTCTTGGAAGTTGGGCAAAGCAAGGATAGGTGTTCTTGTCAGTGCCACTTTGACATTGTCAAATGCTAACTAGGCTTCAAGAGGCTAAGTGAACTGTTTTAGTCTGAGCAAGTTGATCAGTGGTTTGGTTAGGATTCCATAACCTTTTACAAACCGTCTGTAGTAGCCTATAAGACCCAGAAATGCTCTCAGCTCTGTGAATGAAGTAGGAGCTGGCCAGTGGAGCATAGCTGAGATCTTGTTTGGATCTATGGACACCCCTTCCGCTGATATAATGTGTCCTAGATATTCCAAACGTGACAGTGCAAAAGAACATTTGCTCTCTTTGAGGAAAAGTCTATGTTTTCTCAATTCAGCCAAGACCTGCTACAAATGATGTTTGTGGTCTTCCATAGTGGCACTAAAAATTAGGATGTCATCTAAGAAGACCAGTACAAATTTCCTTAGAAATGGCTGCAAGATTTGATTCATGATGCACTGAAAAGTGGCAGGTGCATTTGTAAGGCCAAATGGCATCACCTTGAACTGATAGTGGCCTTGATGAGTTTTAAATGCAGTTTTGTACTCATCCTCTGGATGCATTCTCACTTGATGATATCCTAACCTCATATCTAGCTTGGTGAAGAACTTAGCTCCATGTAATTCATCTAAGATCTCTTCAATGACTGGCATAGGAAATATATTTTTGATTGTGATGTCATTCAATTTTCTATAGTCTACACAAAATCTCCAGATGCCATCCTTCTTTTTGACCAAAAGGACTAGTGAAGCAAAGGGACTATCAAACCAACTTGCAAAAACTCCTGGACTTGTCTCTCTATCTCAGTTTTGTGTAATGGTGAATAGTGATAAGGTTTAGAATTGATAGGAATAGATCCAGGAAAAAGTGGGATGGTATGGTCATATGCTCTTTGGGGTGGTAAGGCTTTGGGATCAGTGAACACATCACTATAGGTTGAAAGAATGTAAATAATGTCAGATTGTTGGGAAGTGTCACTATGTGTGTGGACATGATGGTTGCTGGTACATGGTCTAGAAGAACAAAAGCCCATATGTCATTGCCCTTGGTTGAGTTAAATACCTTAGTGACCGAGATAGACTGAAGCTATAGTGGGGGTTCTGTGATTCCTTTCATCTTGACAGGTCTGCCCTTGACACAAAATTCTAGAGTTTTGTGTTGACAGTCACATTGCACGGGACTATTGGATTGAAGCCAGTCAAAATCGAGGATGGCATCATATGAATGCATATCCAAGACCACCATATCAGTAGACAATGTATGTCCTTGGCAATACCAGGACAACTCTTGTACCTTTTTGTTGGTGATCATCCATTCACCATTTGCTAACTTCACTTTTCTAGCTTGGGTTGACACTGTAGGTAACTTGGCCAGAGCAACAAACTGATAACTAATGAAGCTATGTGAGCTGCCACTGTCAACAAGGATGAGCATCACTTTATCTTGAACTCTGGCTTTTAGCTTGATGCAGTTTGTGTTGTCAACACTGGAGATAGCATGCAATGATAGCTGGCAAAATTCCTCATGAAGTGTGTCTTTAGCTGCCAGTTGATTGAGGACATCATCAAACAGTTCTCTGTCAAGGTCATTAATGACCAATGCATTGGTTTGAGTCTTTTTTCTCTTAGGACACACTTCTAGGTGGTCAGGCACAAATTTGTCACCATAATTGAAACAAAGGCCATTTGCCTTCCTATAGTCCCTTAATTGCCTATCTTTCCATAGAGAAGTGGGTTGAGGTGCTGGCTTGTTTTCAATTCTTGGTGGCATGTATGGTTTTGGTTGATTGGCATTTCTTTGGTATCTAGCCTTGTTTCTGTCATACACTCCCTATTGAACCTTAGCAATGATTGAAGCTTTATGCATAGTTGTGGGCATTTGACTCTCTACTGTGCCTCTGATCTCTTCCTTGAGTCCTCTTATGTAATGAGGTGTGAAAAATATTTCATCATAATTAGGATTGTGCATGGTAACAGCAAATTGCAAAGCTTGGAACTGTGTGGTGTATTCAGCCACTGTCCCAGACTGCTTGAGGTCCAATAAGTCATTCATTGCTGTTCTAAAATCATCGGCTCCAAACTCTTCTTCTACCACAGCACAAAAATGATCCCAATTCCTAAAAGTATGGTTTTGTTTGTAAGCTTGGTACCACTTAGCAGCATTACCCTCAAAATACAGAT